CATGTAACATTTGTGCATGTATGTCATTTCTTTACAAATCATTTTTTGTGCTTTCCACTTCAAAAGGCATTTTGTACTGAGGGGAAGAATAAGTTGATAATATATTCATTGAAGAAAAATTATTTCATAAAATAGTTTCACAAGTCAACTCTAAGAAAGTACATTTACGTTTTGTGAGTTATCTAGCAGACACTTGTGTCCTTGAGACAAGGGGTTATATCTGTCTTATTTCTGCATTCATCTCTAGAATCTACCACAGTTCCTAGTTGATGTATAGTCGAAAAGTACATTAATGAATTTATACATTTTTAAGAACAGAGTTGGGTTTCTCTTTTATCCGAGAAACCCAAAGTATAAATAAAGAGCAAAATAAAAGTTAGATAATAGAATATAGCGAGATAGATCTTAGAGTCTCTACTGTAACTTAAGGAACCAGTTGGGTAATGGAACACTGGGAATGGCAGAAGAACCAAACTATAACTATAGTTCTGAAGTTATTTCCATAAATTATAAGGCTATAAAAATAGTATGAATGTATGACTGACCCAAAAAGTCAAAGAAGCAGTCCATAGTAATGGAGTAGAGTCTGAATTCTTCATTGTCCAAAGAAACCGTAAACTTTGTATTCATCACTCCCTGGGTCCTGGTCTCAATGAACGATTTATCAGTCCTGTGAACCTAGGCAATTTATATAACCTCTTTATAATTCAATTTAAATACTGGTGAAATGTGATTAATAAAATGAGTCATGAGGATTATTATTATTTGTAAACTTCCTAACATGGTACCTGGACATAACATCTGGTAAAAAAATATTAAAATCTTTTAAAAAGTAATTTTTATATCAAGGTACATGTGGTAAATTAAAACACTTATCTACCCTTCCTCCAAGCCCTTCCTCTTCCCAATAAAAGAGAGGAGGCAGGAATTAAATCTTATTTTAATAGTACTATGAAAAGAATAGAATCAAAAGTATAGATTAGTCAATGAAATTGAGGTCTTAATTCATACTACTTTTATCTTGCAGCTGTTAATATGAGTAATAGCTACATTATAGTAGGGCTAATTTTAGCAATTAGGTGATTACTATTTCTAATAATGTGTATATAGAATATGATTATTGTTAAAATGACTTATTAAAGACCTGATAAGTTCTATCACTCATCTGAAAGTGAGAAGAATATAGCAGTTTATGGTTACAGTTTATGATGTTACTGCTTCATGTAAAGCACTTTTAACACTGTCTGGTACCTTAAACATGCTTTATAAAAATGGTCTGAATGATCCAGTCCTGTAACCCAGTTGTATTTTCTTTTTTTCAAGTAGATCCATGATTTCATTCAGGGTATAAGTGCACTGCTTTGAAATGGTAATTGCAGGTGCATTCTTGTGCAAGCAGGCTCAAAAATTGTCTTGTGTTACAGCATACAGTCAGAAATGCCTTTAAAGGAATGAATTTTCCAGACATTACCTTGTCATTTTACCTAATGAACCCTCTTTATTTTTAGTTCTTGTTGGGACATTGGTAAAACTTGGCCCATTTATAGTTTTAATTAATTAATTAATGATTTCAATTAGTTTGACTTGCTGTCATAATAGTTCTTTTTAAGAAAAAAAAATTGGGTTATGACTGAAAATTTTATTCCTTTTTATACTCTAGTAATTCTTATTTGTTATTTGTGTTGTATGTACCCCTTTCCAAGCCTAAAATTAACATTTTTGGTCTTATGAAATTTATATATATCATTTTTAAGTCTAATTATTTGCCTGGTATAATGTCTTTGTGCATTTTAAATAGCTGAAACGCTTTCTGCTGCTGTGAAATTCTGTGTACATCTTGACTTACATAGAACACAGAATTAAAGTCTTGGCTACTCATTTGTTAGCTGCCTTTCAAAAACTCAGTGTGGTACAAATTCTGAATGATGTCATGATTTGTATCACAGTTTGGATTTGTTTTTAAGGAAAAAATATATTTTTCATGTGATTTTTCTTATTACTCTTTTAAAAGACAGGGATGAATTGTAACATGATTAAAAACAGGAATAATATGAGAAGACATTTAAGCAAGGCACAAACACAGGCTTCCATGCCACAAAAAGGAAATTCTGGGGGAAATGAGGTGGAAAAATCTGATAATCAACCACCTGGATTCCCTGAACTGATAGCACAGGAAGTATCAAAGCAGATACATGAGGCTCTAGAAAAATTCAAAGCAGAAATAGTCTCACAGATAAATACAGAGATGGTGAGTAGAGTGAAAGACATGATTAGAGGCTCTAGAGCAGAAACAGATAAGAAAATAGATGAGATCAGAAACATGCTGGAAGCTATGAATGCCCAGCATAATAAAGAAATGGAAACCATGATCACCCAACATAAAGAAATCCGTGAAACAGATTCAAACAGATATTCAGGATATTAAAAACTCCATTGAAAGCATGCAGAGCAGACTAAGAGAATCTGAAGACAGAATGTCAGATATAGGAGACAGGATTGCGATTTAGGACCATGAAAACAGAGATTTCTTAAAGATAGTAAGGGACCATGAGAAATCAATCCAACAGCTGCTAGATGATGCAAAGAAGAACAACATAAGACTGATAGGAGTCCATGAAAAAACAGGAGAAAGTACAATTGACATAAAAAAACTGTTCACAGAAGTAATAGTAGAAAACTTCCCAGACAGAGGTGGAGAATTGGACACACAGATAAGTGAGGCATATAGCCATGATCCACATAGCCATGATCAAAAAAAATCTACACCTAGACATATAATATTCAAAATCCCAGAAACTCAACAGAAGAACAAAATTCTACCGGCAGTTAGAGAAAAGAAACAAATCACCTACAAAGGAAAGTCCATCAGAATGACGGCAGATTTCTCAACACAAACCCTCAAATCAAGGAGAGCCTGGAGTGAAGTATCTCAAACCCTAAAAGAAAATAACTTCCAACCTAGACTGTTGTATCCGGCAAAATTATCTTTCAAAATCGATGGGGAAATTAGATACTTTCACGACAAAGAACACCTGAGAAATTTCATGAACACCAAACCGGCACTCCAAACAATCCTGAACAATATCCTAGAAAAAGATAATGAAGGTCACAACTCCATAAAGCCCAACAGAGAGAAGACACCACGCAAGGTAAGGCACTTAAGGGAAAGGGGGAAAAATAAGAAAAGAGCCAACAATAAAACATCATGGCAAGAATGAGTCAATATCTCTCAATTATATCTATCAATGTTAATGCCCTCAATTCACCAATCAAAAGAAACAGACTGACAGAATGGATTAAGAAGCAAAACCCAGCAATATGCTATATACAAGAAACACACCTAACTCAAAAGGAAATTCATAGACTGAAAGTAAAAGGATGGAAAACAGTTCTCCATGTGACAGGAACCCAGAAAAAAGCAGGGGTAGCAATCTTATTTGCAGACAAAGTAGATTTCCCAAAACTAGTTAAGAGAGACAAAGATGGTCACTACATTCTTGTGAAGGGAACAATCCAAGAGGAAGAGATGACAATCCTAAATATGCACCAAATATGAATGCCCCTGCTATACAAAACAAATATTAATGGACATGAAAAACCAAATAAACAATAACATAATTGTAGTGGGGACCTCAACACCCCTCTGTCACAAATAGACAGATCATCTAGGAAAAAACTTAACAATGAAATTCTAGAACTGAACCAAGCTATTGAACAAATGGACTTAATAGATGTTTGTAGAGTGTTCCACCCCCACAAAATCAGAATACACAGTCTTTTCAGCTGCACAGGGGTCATTCTCCAAAATAGATCACATACTAGCTCATAGGGCAAATCTAAGTAAATGTAAAAGAATTGAAGTTATACCCTGTATATGTTCAGACCATAGTGCAATACAATTGGAGATCAATAACATAAGAAACCACAAAACACCCACAAACACATGGAAATTTAAAAAAAACAGGAATAATAAATTATCTTAACTAGGGATGCACTTTTGATCATTTACTCTCAGTATAGACTGTGTCCCTGAAAAATACTTTAAATCAACAAATTTAAAAGATACAAATCTGTTTCAAAATAAGTTGTATAAGAATGGGTTTCAATTTAAAGGAGGCTTGGATATTTCTTGTATTCTAAATCTGAGAAAATAACTTCTTTGTTTTTATTAACTAAATGAGAAATCTATGTGACTGATATTACGTTTCTTAGTTTTGTTTTCTTATCAGAGCATGGTTCTACAACAGTATCTAGCTCATCCTTATTGGCTATAGAAGTCTAATTTTCTTAGAAAGCTCCATTTAAGCCTCACATACATACATCTTAATTCGTGTTTTTTCCATTAGCACATTGAATAAATACATGAGCTCCATACCCTTTAGTACTAGCTATTATATAATGTTCCTTTGACTGATTTTATAGATTCATTTTTTGAAATTGTAGTAAAATCTCGGGGCAAGATGAGCTAATATCTCAGTGTCTTCAACCATGCTTTATTAGAAACAAATTATCTATTATAATAGTTGATTATCGGGACGGGGATTTAGCTCAGTGGTTTCGCCGCCTGCTGCGCAAGTGTAAGGACCCAAGTTCGATCCCCGGTACCAAAAAATAAATAATAATAATAGTTGATTATCAAGTAAACACTTTGGTTTTTTAGTTATGATAGTTAGCTAATAATCATTTTAGCTAATAATCATTCCAAATTTAATTTTGAAGAATGACGCATTAACATTTTCTGATTAATTTTCCAGTGATGTACTTATTCTTGTTAGATCTCATTGCATCTACTTTGCTGAATTTGGGGAACTAAAATATATCTAAGTTGACTGGAGAAAGAAGAACTCACTATTTTTGATCCCTACACCTTCATTTAAGCAAACTTCATAAAGATTACTTCCTCCAGTATATACTTCAATACTTGTGGGGAAATGAATTCTGTTAGCTGTTCTCTATGTTGTCTTAGAGCCATATCATAATTCAGTTATCTTTCCTTGTAGCATCAGAGGCTCCTTGAAATGCTAGATAGAGAGAAGGAAATGTTAAAAGAAAAAATAAATGAAGCCTTGAATCAACAATCTCAAGAACAGAAGGTAATACTTGAAGTGTGCTCAGTGTGGATGCATATATTTTGTTACCTCAAACAATACATTTAGTGTCTTTCCAAACATCTTATAATTTACAGGAAATATTGAAAAAATGTTTGGAAGAAGAAAGGCAAAAACATAAGGAGGCGTTAGAATCTTCTGCAAAGGTATTTCTATATGTAATAATTGGTTCCTATGTAAACAAATAGAATTAAATGCTTAGTTCATTAATACTGTCTGTCTACTTTTATATAATGTTTTAATACAGAAAACTCAAAGGTTTTTTTCCTTTCTTATTTTTTCTCTTTAACTTATGATGTGACTATGTTCTTGCTAAATGCATCTTATGTATGATTTTGATGGCATTGGCTCCCTTAAAATATAGAGTACTATTATGTACATATGTTTGGACCCACCTAATATTTGATATATAATATCTGTGTGTATCAAAGTGATTTTTATTTTATTTATTTATTTATTTTTACTTTTTGGCATCAGGAATCAAACTCGGTACCTTGCGCTTGTGAGGCAGGCGGCAGAACCACTGAGTTAAATCCCTAGCCCATCAAAGTGATTTTTAAAGCCAATTTTAAAAGTGATTCATCTAAGAGGTGTATTTAGAGCTGTTAAGTACACACATGGAGTACTAACTTTTAAGTTTTGAATTAGAATTAAACTTAGTAAACAAATATTGAATGTCTGCTTCATATTTATATGTCACTAAGCCAGGACTAGAAATCCAAGAATGAATATAATTTTGTCTTTTTCTTAAAGAATTTATAATCCAATAAGAAAAAATACAAACAGGAGTAAGGCAAGGAGGAATGATTATGAATCTGTAGATATTATGTCCATGTCATAGAAGTATTTTAAATTACAGATTACTTTTGAAATTGACCTTGAAGGGTGACTACATTTCTGACTTGAATTTGAATTTAATTCCATAGCTAAGGAAGACACGTTGAAAGTTCTTAGCATAGGCAAATCTTAATGGTAACTGATGTTTAATTTTCGGAAATTGGAGACAAAAGACTAGAAGCAATGGAAAAAAAATAAGTTGCATCTGAAATCTGGGTAAGAGAAGTGAGTTGTAGAAATAAACTAATTGTGATAAGTTGGACAGTCTAGAAATGGGAGATAAAATCAACACACACGTTCTCTGTGACAGAAAAAGACCAATTATCTGTAGTCCCAGATTATAGCTTCAAGAACAAAACAGAAAATAGCACTCTTTTTGAGGAGTTTGAGATAGTTAAAACAAATTAAAATTTGGAAAATCTGTATCAGTGTTGTAGTAAAGACTTTAATCATGAGATTGATGATGATATTAACAATTTAAGTTTTTATGTCATGTTAAAAAGAAATGTGTTGTTATCTGGTGAAGATGTGTAACCCAATGAATCAGTCTTTACCAAACAACAGATACTTTTAAATTAGTCATTGATAAAGGAATCAAAGTACAAAAGTGCGAAGTACAAATGATTGCAATATAATAGGATAAAATTTTTATTTGATATAATTTTCTTTATCTCAACCATCCTTTGAGGATGGTCTTTTGTCAAATTTTAATGCAAAATCATGCAAAATATCCACAGTTGTCTAAATTAACTACCAAATACTTTCTCCTTTTTGAAACTACATATGTTTGTATGGGTAGATTTTTTTTTATACACTTCAACTAAAAATCTATCATTACAGATTTAATACAAAAAGTAGATACAATAATCTAGCTGTTTTCTACTAAGTCAGATATTAAAGAAGTTTTTGTATAACATTGAAGTTCTCACTTTTTAAATATTGGAAATTATAGTTATCACAATGTTTATTATTTGTTAATATATAATACATATATAATGACACAAGTATACATTTATGTCAAATGAATACTTTTCTTGATTTGAATGTCTAATATAAATAATAGGTACTACCAACATTAACCAAAGTTCTTTGACATACTCATCATTTTTTAACATTATAAAAGGACCCTAATACCTCAAGGCTTGGGAATCTGCTATCTTAGCTAAGGGGTTGATTTTCTTGAAGTATAGAAATGCCATGGAAATCAGTGAAAGTATGTGTATAAAAAAGAACAATGCATTTTTATGTAATTGTTTAACGTGCATAGAAAAGGAATTTTAGAACTAAGAAAGATCAAGTTTTGTGTCTTTAGGTTAACCAGATTTGCTTATTATATAATCACACAAACATTTATGTTTGGTTCATTAATTGTTTTGAAGCTAGAGCAAGAAGCAATGAAAGAAGTAGTTATGAAAGCCATAGAAGAAGAAAGAAAGAATTTGGAAAAAGCTCATGCAGAAGAAAGGGAATTATGGAAAACAGAACATGCAAAAGATCAAGAAAATGTATCTCAGGCCATTGAAACAGCTATACAAGAACAAAGAAAAATAAGTCAGGTCAGTTAAATTAGCTCCTTATAAACTTGTTTTTCTTATTTGTCTCAAAATGAAGTGGCCTTAACTATTAATTTATCTTATTTAAAATCAACTTAGTGGATATAGCATTATTTAATTTTTAGATCTAATAATTTTAGCACTTCACTGTATTTTCATCTGATATTAAAAATTCTATACCGTTTTACTTCTTTACTTTTTAGAATCCACATTTGCGTTTAGTGATTTTAGCTACCTACATTAAACCTTCTGCTCTGTGTTCTTATGACCCCCATCCACAATACACACAAACATAGAATCAATACAAAATGACATCTTTCCATAGAAAAAATACTTCATTTAATTCATTTGTTGTAACTTTAGTAACTGCAAAAATATTCACTATGTTCTCAAAAGAGATATAACAAATATGTTCTACATAGGAAGTAACTTTTGATCATTTATCTGAGCTCTTAAATCTCTAAGTTTTATTTTCCATAATTGAATTTGCATAGTTCAATTTTACTTGGATTTAGTTTTTTCTTTATGTAGGCAAAGAACTTGAACAAATCTTCCCTTAATCAAGTATACAGAGCAGAAGATAACACTCATAAAGTCGCTTTCACATGGTTTACATGTCATATAAACTACCATTTTTTGCTTCTTTTGAATGTAGCTAAAATGACTAACCATTCCAAACAATCTAAATATTTATGACTCTTTAATAATCATAAAAATCCCTAAAAAATTCGATGTTTTCAATATCCAGACTCAATGTTACACTTTTTAAACCATGTCATTTAAGTTTATTCTCAAGGACACATAGTTACCATTTATTAGAAAAACTGAACAGATCTGTACATTCTATCTATATGATAGCAATATTATAGTAATAGATACTGTCTTTTTCTTCTTTCTATTAAAGTAACCATTACTTCTAATTGTTACTGTAACCATTATTAGTATCTGCCCACATATACTGGTTATCTATAATAAGATATTTATCTGTCAGCTTTGTTGGTTGGAATTCTATGCCAGCAAGGTCAAGATCATTCTTTATTTTTCCTCATTTGGGAGAGTTTAGAGAGTGTTTATCTGTTTGTTTTGTTTTGTTTTATTTTTTGTGGGCATAGAGTACTCTCAAATTCACATAGATATGACTTGTTAGTCACCATGAAATTGAGCAAGACAGTTTGAATGAATCAGCACATATTCATCACCCATATCAAAAAAAGCATAACTTGAAGATTATAGGGCCGGGGATTTAGCTCAGTGGTTCTGCTGCCTGCCTTGAAAGAGCAAGGACCTGAATTCAATCCCTGGTACCAAAAAAAATAAATAAATAAATAAATAAATAAATAAAAATATATATATATATATATATATATATTTTAAGGAGTACACATCTGCGCTATTAGCCTGTAGGACACTGAAATAGACAGTGAACTTTGAAAATTTTCCCGTTGGTGAAGATAATTTAATATGTGTGTTTTCTTACAAGGGTTTGCAAGTTTTACTACCTAGTATATGTATGTATGTGCATGTGTGTGTGTGTGTGTGTGTGTGTGTGTGTTTCTTTAATTACAGTGTAGCTGAGAGTTGAGGAAAAATCTCCAGCAGAGAGACAGTGTTGCCAGGTAACTTTCAGGCTTTCAAAAGTGAAGTAATATTATGAAATGCATCCAAAGTCTTTAAACTCTCTTTCTTTTTCATATGGTTGATGTTTTTAGGCATTAACCCCTTCAAGCTTCATGTTCCTAGGCTAGGAAATGGACAAATAAATTACTTTTCTCAGAAGTCACATGATCTATTCTGTTTAGACCCACCAGGATAATCAAATAAATTTTTGTGGTGAAACTTAATCTGTAGTCTTTTACATCAACAATTAAAATGATTGTCATTTCCAGGCTCTATACTTATTTCTAGGGATACAACAAAGGAGAAAATAATTCCCTCCCATCTTGTAAAGAAGACAGTTAGGAAGCTAATAGAGGTCTAATATAAATCAAGAAGTGATAATTGTCATCAAAAACAAAGCTGTCTAGCCAGGCATGTTGGCACATACCTGTAATCCCAGCACTTGGGAGACTGACCCAGGAGGACTATCATGAGTTCAAGGCCAGCTTGGGCTACACAGTGAGTTCAAGGCCAGGTGGAATACATTGTTAAGACCCTGTCTCAAAAAATCAAAAATGAAAGAATAAAACTCTATGGAACAAGAGGGTGAATAACCCAGTATATAAAGAAGGGTAGTCAGATAAGTGCTGGCCAAAGAGCCAGCCTTTCAGCTGAGACCTGCACAGATGTGAGGACTTTGCTTTGTGAATATTTAGGAAAGGGTTTCAAGCAGAAAGAGTATTTCAGAGGTCCAACAAGTGCAAAGCATCTGAGGCAACAAAAGTACAGTGTAATTATAGCTATATGGTATTATTATGGGAATTGACAGTCAACAGACCCAATCAAACAAGATAGAATCCAGAAATATACTTAATTTTTCTGTAATTTACATATCTGTAAAGATAGTATGACAAATTAGATAGGATAAGATGAATCAACAAATCAGGATTTTTTTTTAATCTTGATTCCATTTAACAAGTGCATATAGTCTGTAAATTTATTGAAATTATGAAAAGTGGAATATAATGTAGGTATTTTTTGCAGAGTTGGTCCATATTTTTATGAAATCCTCAAAAGAATTGTAATTAAACCACAGGATATTAAAAATATTTCAATTGACTACCCTTTTCCTTCTGTATTCTTTCTGTAAAATAAATGCCAAACAGACTAAATATTTAAATCCATAAATTTAATGTACTAAAAAGGAATTAGTCAAACAACTGATATTCTTTGAAAGGAAAAATTTCAGCAGGACTACTGGAATTGTGGAATGGATACCTCCACAAATTACCTCTTTGAAAACACTAGCAAAAAAAATTGTTAAAATTCAGTTCTTAGAACTGTAGATACCAACCAAAGCTTTTAATAACCCAAATGTTTAATTAAAAATAGCTAACTCTTACTAAGAACATCCGTGTTTTCAGAGTTTTAACTTGCTTTATTCCATTCTTCCTCTTCCCAGATGTATGGATGGTGGCTTTAAAAGCTAAGAGCTAGACAGCCACACTAATTTATGGAGAACCAAAATGTAGAAGTCCCTGAAGGGCCCAGATGGGGTTGGGAGCTCCACAAAAGCTATGTCTCCAAAGATTTGTTATTTTTTGACCTGACAGCTTCTTGGAAAGTCCCCATTTTATGGCTTTTCATATTGATCTACCTCAAGGCTCAGTGGGAAAAGCCCTATCCCCAGGATATCTGCCAAAAACAGTAGGTGGAGATAATTTATCTTCTCCACGGCCTGGGAAGAGAAGATGGCTCAAAAGAAGGAGGAGGTGGAGGAGAGAGAAAAGAAGGAACATGTTTTTGCCATAGGTGGCTTTGAAAAGTTCTGACTTTTGAAAATATTCCTGGAATTTAAAGTCACACACATGCCCAAGAAAGACCCAAGAAAGCTATAATCTCTGGCAGACTTTGATTCTGTGCAAGCAGGAAGTGAAGGCTAAGGTAGAGTTGCAAAGTGCCAATGTTGACGTTATGCTTCAGCACATAGAGCCCCTTGGAATCGGATGGAAGACTTACTTGTTCAAGATATTTAAGTAAATTGCTGTCTAATTTCATTAGCTGACAACTAAACTTACCTATAAGAGACTTTAAAAACTTCATATGACAAGGAATATGGGCTTTGCAAAATTAGTGTGGAAAGGTTACTACATGAGAACTTCCTAACAAACACAGCAATAACAACAATAACATAAAAAAAAAAATCTTTGGAGCACAGAAAAGATCTGACATCTCAAGTTGCTACATTATTTTAATATCCAGTTTTCATCAATAGCAAAAGGCTTATGAGATATTCAGACAAACAGGAAAAAGTGGTTCATACATCTGGGGGAAATCTAGTTAGTATAGACTACTTGGGTATTGGACTGAATGAAGACTTTGGTTTGCCATTACAATTGTATTCAAAGAACTAAAGTAGACCATTTGTCTAGACTTATAAGCCTCCACCATATTTATTATGTGTGTATGGGCTCTTCAGAAATTAGCATTAGAAATTTTGAAGGAATGGCCTCTTAATTTTTAACATGTATGTTTGTTTTGCTATCAATACAAGGGAGCAGACACATAGATGTACACTTACGTTCTCTTCCTACTGTTACCTGTGAGTAATTATTTTGTTGAAGGAAAAATATTTTGTTGATCTTTTACCTCCAAATTTGTATTTTTCTTGCAGCATATGGTTCAGGTACTAACTTCATTGACTTCATCCTGAGGCTACCATGTGTCTAACTCATGTTTGTACTCTTGGGAGGCCTTAGCTCCTATCATGTATTCTAGAAAAACAGTCATTAGGAGCTGAACTCTCATACATTTAACTCTATATTAGTGGACAACTGATTAATTAAATGTGTTTTTGATAATTGTCAGCAGCATAGATCATCAAATATGGTATAGAGGTCTTCTTGTGATAATTCTGGTGTGTCTTCTATAATACAGACTCATCAACACAGAAATTGTTTTAAAATTCCTCAGAAGGTACTGGACTTAGTGTATTTACAACTATACATGTTTCAAAGTTGAAGCTACTGCATGTATTTCATATATTATCTCTTCCTACTCCTCTTCTCTTGGGTCATCTAGTTTTTAACTTACTTATATGTATTCTCTTAAGTCTTAATATCACTTTTATTTTACATTGATTTTTCTGTCATGCTTATAATATTTTGTATCTTCCAACTCATTAATTCTCTAGTTGACCTTTAAAATCCATGTATTACCCAGACGTAGTGACTCACGCCAGCTCTTGGGAGGCTGAGGCAGGAGGATCACTGGGGGTGTGAGCACAGCCTAGGTTACATAGTGAGTTAAAGGCCAAATTATATTAGCTTTTAATTTTCTACAATTTTTGTTTTTAAATATATTATGTCATTTTATTTCCCCTACTTAGTCTGAAGAAAAGACAAGTG